ACAAAATATTATCTATCACACTAAATTCTAACATACATTTTTTAGAGACTACAGAAATAAACCCATTCTTATATGGACAATTACATTAGAGAAAGGAAACTTTCTTCAACAAATAGTAGGAAAACTGGACAGTCACATGCAGAAAAATGAAACTAGACCACTGTCTCATACCACATACAAAAGTTAACTCAAAATGGAATAGAGATGTGGATGTAGGACCTGAAATCATAAAAAATACATAGAAGAAAACATAAGCAGAACACTCTACCACATTGACTTCAGGGATGTATTTGGGGGAATTGACTCCAACTGCAAGGAAAACAGAAGCAAAAATAAACAAATGGGATGACACCCAACTGAAAAGTTTTGCACAGTGAAATAAACTATCATTAAAACAAAAAGATGCCCCACTGAGTGGAAGAAAATATTTGTATATCAAATATCTGACAGGGGAATAATATCAAAGATCTTCAAAATTCAGCAACAAAAATTATCCAATAAAATCGACACTTCTCCAAAGAAAACATATAGATGACCAGCAGGAACATGAAAAAATGTTCATCATCACTTTTCATCATATGTGAATCAAAACCACAATGGGTTACCACCTTACATTGTGAGAATGACCCATACTGATAAGACCAGAACAGGTGTTGGGAGGATGTTGGTGGGATGCAGACAGGGCTAGCCCTTATAGAAAACAGTATGGAGTTTGCTCAAAATATTAAAAACAGATCTGATGGTTGATCTAACATTCCTAGGTATCTATCTGAAGTTAATTAGATATGCATTAGAAGAATTACAAAAAGACTAATTCAAAGGGATATTTGCACTCCTATGTTCGCTACAGCACTATTTGCATTGGTTATAGAAATAACCTCCTCAGTGCTCAAGGATAGATGAGTGGGTAAAGAAGTTGTGGCATACATTTAAATGAATATTACTCAGTTTAAAAACAGATGAAAATTTGCCAGAACAACATGCATAGAACTGGAGGGGATTAAGCTAGGGAAATAAGAAGAAGAAAGACAAATACTGGATGATTTGATTCATATATGAAATACAGAGAAATAAACAAAATGAACAGACAAAACAAATATAAACAAACTCTAGAAATATGGCTGCAGAATAGAGGCTAGAGAGGGGATGAGTGGGAAGGAGGCCCAATTGTCTATGGCAGAGGATTCTGGGTATACATGTGTGGTAGGCATGGTGAGGAAACATATAGCTTATGAGGCATGAACCTATATCCCTAAATTATATACAGTGTTGTAAATCAATGTTCCCTCAAAAAGTTATAGAAACATTGAAAATACATTTTAGCTTAGAGAAACTCTGTAATTATCAATTTCATTTTAAACCCAATTTTTTTACCAGACACTATAAAAATTCTGCTACAGTACAAGATTTTTGCTTAATTTCCTCATTCTCTTTTCTTCGTTTGTCCTACATTTTTTTTTCTTTTTAAAATGTCTGCTTAAAGGACTATTCATAAATATACAAAGATCATAGCTAAACCAGATGCAGAGAGACTAACAGTTAATGACAAATGCCGGAGATTCTTTTCAAGTTAAATATTCAGGACCAGAGGGCTGAGTAGGCCTAACAAAAGAACACATGCTTATGAGGGATACAAAGATGGAGTAAGAAGAACTAGTTCTCATTTGGATAAAATTAAGTTATTAATGAAAGCATGTAAGAAGGATTTGAAATCAAAGTAACAGTGAAATTAAGTTAAATCATTTATTCACTCCTATACAAAAGGGAAATGTTATGGCAATTTGTAAAATTTCTTTTCAAAATTAATGCTTAGGACAAATGCTAGTATTTATAATATCTGCTGAAGGGAAAAAATCCCTTAATTATGTTTTAGTGACAGCATAATATTAAATCTGTTTCCAACTCCTCCAGACTGGTAATAATCAACTTTTCTTCATATGAGTTAAAGTAGAAATAGAATTTCATAGAATACATCGTACATTTTTTTTAATAGAATTTTTTTTTTAAAGATTGACTTATTTATTTATACAAGCACTGGGTACAGTCAGAAGTGCGGGAGGTGAGAGAATTCACCAGAGCCAGAGCGGGGAGCAGAACAGGCAGAAGGTCCGAAGTACACTGCTCAGGGGAGCAGTGGGCAGCAGGAGAGGTCTGCGCGCCATGTGGGACCCTCGCCTGGCAGCCGGGGATCGAACCGGCACTGCAGATGCTGTGGGCAGCTTTGCAACCCAGCGCTCAACCGCTGTGCCACCAGGGGAGGCCCACATCGTACTTCTTGTACTGAAAGATCTCATAGCTGAAATTCAGTTTGGTGCCTTACAGCTGCATGTAGTAAATGAACTGTCCATGTAGTTTGACTTCACCCAGAAGCTAAGGACCTCAGAAGCATTTTAAGATGTTTGTGAAACACAAATGAAGTGAGTTATCAGAGATATGCTGCAATATGTGTTTGAGATACGTGCTCATACATATGGATAATATTTGTTCTCAAGCCAATTAATATTGCTGTTGCCAAAGTGGTCACTATTTAAAAAGTAACCAAATGAAGACAAGATAACTACTTTCGTTAGGCAAGGTAGCACTGTTTTGTCTTAAATTTATTTCATAAAAATTCCTTTTTTAAGTATACAATAGAAGGTACTGAGAAAATAGTGTCTCAGAAATGTTTTAGAAATATTTATAGACTCAAATTATTTAGACTTGCTCTAGGACTTTGTTAGTGGGTATGGTGAGGCATCTTCATATCAAGGTGTGGAAAATTTTTCAAAAAATCTATGTGGTATTGTAATCCAATGATAATTCCAAGAACTTTTTATTATAGTTTTGATTTGCATTTTCCTGATGATAAGTGACAATGAGTATTTTCTTCCTTTGATGCCTCCTTTTGCTATCTCATATTTTTGTATTTTCACTGAATGAGAACAAAAACCAATGTTTTGTCTTCCACTGAGATAACATTTTTTCACAACACTGTGTATGATTCAGAGGTATAGGTTTATACCTCTTTTTTTTTTTAAAGATTTATTATTTTTTATTTATTTATTTATTTGTACAAGCACTGGGTACAGTCAGAAGCACGGGAGGGTGAGAGAATTCACCAGGGCCAGAGCGGGGAGCAGAGCAGGCAGAAGAACCGAAGTACACTGCTGAGGGGAGCAGCGGGCAGCAGGAGAGGTCTGCGCGCCATGCGGGACCCTCCTCCGGTGGCCTGGGAGCAGCCGGGGATCGAACCGGCGCCGCAGAGGCCTCGGGCAGCTTCGCAACCCAGCGCTCAACCGCTGCGCCACCGGGGAGGCCCTAGGTTTATACCTCTTTAGGTATATTTTACCACACGACACCCACCACTAGACACCCTCACTCCTTCACATTATTCCCCTGTGTCTGTTACCCATCTGTATGTCTTAATTGGAGAAGTGTCTATTTTGTTCTCCTGCCCATTTTTTGATTAGGTTATTTGCTTTCTTTTTGCTAAGTTGAATGAGTTCTTTGTGGATTTTGTGCAGATTTTGGTAATCAGTCCTTTGTAGAATGTGTGATGTACAAATACTTTCTTCCTCTCAGTAGATATCTTTTATTTTAATGATAGTTTACTTTAACGATATTTATTTCACTGTGCTTTTAGTTTGTTATATTGCCATTTGTTTATTTTGCTTTTGTTTACCTTGCCTGTGGAGTCAAGTCCCCCAAAACATCCTTGAAGCCAATGTTGTGGAGTGTTTTGTCTATGTTTTTCTTCTATGTTCTTTATGACTTAAGGTCTTACATTCATTTCTTTAATACATTTTGAGTTTATTTTTGTTTATGGTGTGAAACAGTGGTGTAGTTTAATTTTTCTGCATTTGGTTGTCCACTTTTCCCAGTGTCATTTATTGAAGGGGCTTTCCTTTTCCCAATGTATAGTCTTGGCTCTTTTGTTGAAGACTACTTGTCTGTATAAGCATGGGCTTATTTCTGGGTGTTTAATTGTATTCCAGTGGTCTACTTGTCTGTTTTATTCAAGTACCATACTATTTTTATTACTATAGCTTCGTGATATAGTCTGAAATCTAGTAGTGTAATTCTTCTGTTCTTTGTGGTTTGGATTGCTTTGGCAAGATACCACCCACCTCACACCTGTGAGAATGGCCCATAACAAAAATATCAGAAACAACAATATTGATGAGGAGAAAAAGAAACCCTCATATACTGTTGGTGGGACTGTACACTGGTTCAGCCTTTACGGAAACAGTATGGAGGTTTCTCAAAAAAGTAAAATATATTTTCCATATGGTCTGGCAATTCCATTCCTAACTATCAATTTCCCAAAATTCAAAAACACTAACTTAAAGAGATAGATGAATTCCTATGCTAATTGTGGCACTGTTTATAATAGCTGAGTTGTGGAAGTAGTCTAAGTTCCCGAGGACTGATGGGTGAATAAAGAATTTATGGTAAATTTACACAAAGAAATACTGTTCAACTACCACAAAAAAAATGGAGTCATGCCATTTGCAACAACATGGATGGAACTGATGGAACTAGAGGGGATTACACTAAGTGAAATAAGTTGGAGAAAGAGAAATACTGGATGATTATACTCTTATATGGAACATCAAAACAAAGGAACAGACACAATTAAATCAAACCCTAGAAATCCTACCATAGAATTGAGGTTACCAGAGGGCGTGTTGGGGGAGAGAAAGGGGGGAACCACAATGGACTGGTGGAGGGTTGTGGGTGCTTTGGTGGTTGGTGTGGAATGACAACATGCATATGAAGGGGTGTGGGGGTAAGTAGGGGGGAAGCTTCAGGCTTTGCCGCCCTCCCACTGCACATGCGCACTCGGCAGAACGGCGTGGCGCACCCTGTGGCACGGCGTGGCGTGCGTGGCGTGGCGTGGCGTGGCGTGGCGTGGCGTGGTGTGTGTGGCATGCGTAACAGGCGTGGCGTGTGTGGCGTGGCCTGCGTGGCGTGGCGTGCGTGGCGTGCGTAGCGCAGCGCAGTGTGGTGCGGTGCCGAGGCCGGAGGAGGGGCTGGAGTGGCCGAGCGGACGGAGCGCGGTGACAACTGAGCGCGGAGAGCGTGACGACACCAACGGGGCTGCTGGAGCCGGTAATGAACCTACCGGGGTGGCGGGTTGCCCAGTTCTCGCGTGTGTAAATAAATAAATCTTTAGAAAGAAAACATTTGTGCCAACAGAAGGTGTCCTTGGGGGACGTCACACGTTCTCTCAGAGAAAACCCCTGTTCCCGTCTCTGTGTGACGCGCCCGCGCTGGTGTTCGTGACCGTCTTCGCGGTCACCCGGGGCGGGTCGCGGCTCCTCGTGGTTCTCGCGTCCCCGCCCCGCCCAGCGCGAGTCCCCGGGCCTGGGCCCGAGACAGACGGGGACGCGCGAGGCCTGGACACTCCCCGCGGGGATGCGGGTGACTGGACGGGCGTGTCCACTTCTGGGGCAGAGACTCCGTGGGTCCTGCTCCCTGGTGAGCTTGGCGGGTCCTCGAGGTCACTTTCGAGGGTGAATATGAAGTTAGAGAGAGAGAGAAATTTGAGAACTGTCCCTTCTTGTGTAACTGTGCAGACTTAGGCAAATCATTTTATTTCTCTGAACCTCAGATTCTTCAGTAACACTTTTCTTAAAATACCAGCCCCCCAGGAGGAGTGTGAGGAGGAAATGGAATGATGCGTGTGAAGAAGTGAGTGCAGTGTTTGTCAGGAGATGGTTCCACCATTCTCCTTCCTAATCCCACAGGAAAGAAGGGAATCCTGGTGATAATAATGCAGTGCACTTTGTAGTCATGTAGACATTACAAAGGAAATGTCACACTTTCATAGTTCTTAACAATTTGAGTTTGAAAATAACTTCAAAATTACCTTGCTTTTGTTTTTATCTTTTTTTTTAAACTGAGTCAAGTGACCTTATGCAAAGTATCCACAGTCAACCAACTAGGTAATGGCGTGATAATAATTAAAACATGGGTGATATTTTGTTCCTAAATATGCTTTTTTGGCTATCTTATCTTTATTAGGTATGTCTTAAAGTAATAGCACTTATAATCATCTAATTCCTACAAAAGTATCTAGGTAGGTAGCATTATTTTCCCCATTAAGAAATCAGAATGTAGTCCCAGCTGTTTTCATTCTGATTTCTTAATGGGGAAAATAATGCTACCTACCTTGATACAAAGTGGTCCAGCCACTATGGAGAGCTGTGTGGAGATTTCTGGACCTACTAAACATAGAGCTTCCATAGGATCCAGCAATTCCACTCCTAGGTATTTACCCAAAGGACACAGAAACATCAATTCCAAAGAGCACCTGCACCCCTATGTTTATAGCAGCACCATTTACAATAGCTAAGCTTTGGAAACAGCCCAAATGCCCAAACATAGATGACTGGATCAAGAAGATGTGGTCCATATACACCATGGAATATTACTCAGCATTCAAAAAAGATAAACACATGCAATTTGCAGCAACATGGATGGCGCTGGAAGGGATCATGCTCAGCGAAATAAGCCAGAAAGAAAAAGAAATATAACGGATGGTCTCACTCATAGCAGGAATCTAGAAAACTTAAATAAGGGACCAGGAAAATGAATAAGTATAAGAAAGTGATAATCAAAATCAACAAAAAACTATGAACCAGAGACACTCTATGGGGAGTGGGGGGCGGGGAGGGGAGGGATTGGGGTCAAAATAAGGGGATTGTAATTGTATGGGGAATATAAAAATTTAAAAAATTAAATTTAAAAAAAAAATCAGAATGGAGGTTCAGAAAAGTTAGGTAATATCTACAAGTCTTCAAATGATGAAGTACCCTCTGAGAACTGCTTTATGTGTATTCCATGAAATTTGACATCATGTGTTTTATTATGAGTTTGTTCAAAATATTTTCTAGTTTTGCTTGTGATTTGTTTGACCCAAGAAAATGTGGTTTTGTGTATTAAGTGTATTAAAAATGTGTCTTAAATTTCTGAATATTTGGAGATTTAATGGATTTGAACTGTGCAATATGATATTCATTGGTCAATTGTGGATATTTAATTTATTTAAATGAGTTTAAATTAAAATTCAGGGCCTCCCAGTGGCGCAGTGGTTGACCACTGGGTTGTGAAGCTGCCCGAAGCCTCTGCAGCGCCAGGTTTGATCCCCGGTTTCTCCCCGGCCACCGGAGGAGGGTCCCACATGGCACGCAGACCTCTCCTGCCACCCGCTGCTCCCCTCAGCAGTGTGCTTCGGTCCTTCTGCCTGCTCTGCTTCCTGCCCTGGCTCTGGTGAATTCTCTCACCCTCCCGCACTTCTGACTGTACCCAGTGCTTGTATAAATAAATAAATAAATCTTTAAAACAAAACAAAAAAAGCAATTATAAAAAAAAAAGACTGAAGTGTCTTTTAGAAAAAAAAAATAAAATTCAGTGGCTAAGGCATTCTAGCCAAATTTTAATTGCTTAAAAGTCATGTATGGATAATGGGTACCATATTTGGGTGGTACAGATATAGAACATTTTCATCATTACAGAAAATTCTATTGTAATATTTTGTTAATGATTTCTAATCTAATACTGTTACAGCCTAAGAACATGCTTTGTTTGTATGATTTTGACTTTTGACATTTACTGAGACTTGTTTTATGTCTCAGAATATAGTCTACCTTGGAGAATTTTTCAAGTGCACATGAGAAGATTATACAATTCTTTTCTGTTCTTGGGTGTAGTGTTCTATAACTTTCAACTAAGTTGATTTATATCTCCGATGTCTTTGTTAAATTTTTGTCTTGTTATCAATTGCTGAGAGATAGGTGCTAAAATCTGCAACAATAATTTGGATCTGTCTATACTTTTTATTAGTTCATAAGAGAACTAGTAATATGACAGTGTAAGGGGCAGGACTGGGCACAGTGCAGGTTTTCTGATCCCATGCAGACCGGGTAAAGGAGGAGTCAGAGTCCTCAGTAGTTTTGCAGGTTTTTTATTTGGGGTTCACCAGGCATATGGCAGGCAGGGGTGCTGGCTGGGGGGCTGGGAGGCTGGCAGGCCTCCCAGCCCCCAGCAAGTCTTCACTCTATCTGGGCTCTCTAGCGTTCGTTCTGCTGCTTCTCGGATTTTCTTTCGGCTTCAGCTTCGGCTTCTGCTGCTGCTACTACTGCTGCTACTGGTGCTGCTGGCGTCCCCCCGTGACGCTGCCCTTAAAAAGCACAGTCTTAGCTCAGCTGAATCCCATCTACCTATGCCCACACCCTATTCCAGGTGCCCGCCATCAGGCATGCATTCAGGACAAGGATCCATCATCTATCCTGATGGCGGAAGGGCAGAAAAGCCTGACATTTTCTTTACCCTACAGTCCACCCCCTCAGGGTTTTCTGCCATAGTCTATACATATATATATACAATTTTCTAAGCAAACAAACAATGCAGCCATGGCCCACAAAAGCAAATACATCAAATATAACAAAATACAACGAAATACAACAGAACACAAATAAGTCCAGGCAGGGCACCAACCAAGAGCAAAAGACAATTATTGGTACCAGCAGATGAGCCACCAAATCTGCTGCCGAAGGCACTGCTCCTACGAGGGCGGGGAACCACTCACGGCATCTACTATAACATACCAGGAGCTGTCAGGCTTCCTGGCCTTCTCCGGCCATAGTCTAGGCTACAAGGCACACACAGCATCCACCCCCAGGATGCACTAGCTCTGGGATTGGCAATTTTATTCTGTTGGGGGTAATCGCCAACCCTCAGGGTTTCTGTCTGCAGTCGCTCCAACACTCGGCCTTCATGGCCACCCATGCAACTCGCAGACCCCTGCACTCAAGCCAACCCACTGCACAAGCACATGGGTCGGGGATCCAAACTCTGCATTCGGCTTGGGCTCCACCCCAAGCCACATTCCCCACCCGTCCCCCAAGGACAGGTTCCTCAGCTCCTCACCCTCGCTCAAGAATGAGCAGGGCATCACCCACAGGTGATTTTACGAGACTCACAGTTCTTCAGCATACCAAGGCTGCTTAACAGCCGCTCAGGGCTTCTCAACTTATCATCAGTACCAGCTTTTGCTTTCTTAGTTGGCTTTTCTCCTCCACCTGGCTGCTGGGCATACACAGGCTGCTTTTGGCCATATAGGCCCACTGGCCACCCCTAGATTCCCATCTCCTGGGGTTTACAAACAAAACTGTTCCATCCCCAGGGTTCCAAAACATATCAACCTGCAAGGTCCTCCGCCTTCTGGCGGGATTGTCAGTCCAAGTCCATCAGTTCAAGTCCATTGGCCTCTCCCTGCGTCAGCAATGGCCTGCTGCCTCAGGGGTCATTGGCTGGTCCTTTCCGGTGTTGGTGGCTGGTCCTTTCCGGTGTCGTTGGCTGGTCCTTTTGGGCGTCTCCTTCACGCCAGGTCTCGTCCTGTAGCTCGTGGGCGTTGTCCACCTTCTGTGCCGCCATGGCGCCTCCAGCATCATCACAGGCAAACAGTCTGTTCTCCTTAGTCCCTCCAGGTCTTCGGAGGGCTCCAATACCCGTCTGCATGGATCCTGCCGACTACGCCAATTGTAAGGGGCAGGACTGGGCACAGTGCAGGTTTTCTGATCCCATGCAGACCGGGTAAAGGAGGAGTCAGAGTCCTCAGTAGTTTTGCAGGTTTTTTATTTGGGGTTCACCAGGCATATGGCAGGCAGGGGTGCTGGCTGGGGGGCTGGGAGGCTGGCAGGCCTCCCAGCCCCCAGCAAGTCTTCACTCTATCTGGGCTCTCTAGCGTTCGTTCTGCTGCTTCTCGGATTTTCTTTCGGCTTCAGCTTCGGCTTCTGCTGCTGCTACTACTGCTGCTACTGGTGCTGCTGGCATCCCCCCGTGACGCCGCCCTTAAAAAGCACAGTCTTAGCTCAGCTGAATCCCATCTACCTATGCCCACACCCTATTCCAGGTGCCCGCCATCAGGCATGCATTCAGGACAAGGATCCATCATCTATCCTGATGGCGGAAGGGCAGAAAAGCCTGACATTTTCTTTACCCTACAGACAGCTTTAAAATTTTTAAGATTTCTTGATGACTTATCGCTTTTATCATTATGAAATGCCTATCTTGGTAATACTCTTTGAAGTCTACCTCTATTATAA